CCTAAAAAGGAGTTTTGTCCCCAAAACTCAAATTGAGGACCATATCAAGTGGTGAATGGCTTCACACAATCCGAGACAAAACAATTGCCTCATCATTTTCTAGGAACAGAACACGGCCTATTACGCTTCCGCTGCGCCACTCTGATATCAATCCACAGCTAACCATAAAAGCAGGACACTAGCTACTTAACAGGGTTTACCATGGAATGAGCTACTAGAGGCTGGGGTGATATGGGAAGCACAACGAATAAAAATAAATCCTGCCAAAGCCACAAAAGAATAATTGTGGGGTTATGCTACGAACCCATCACAAGACGAGTTGACAAAGAATGGCATGGATTTAATGACGAGCACAACAAAACTTAAACTCTATCAAAGACAAATAAGCATCCAATGGATATATGGATCATAATTGAATGAACGAGTGCATGGATGCCTTATAAATTATGCCACAAAACAAGGTTAACCAGAACCAAGATCATGTTTAACAAAGCAACTGGAATCAAGAGACAAATTTTAGCAATTAACAAGAGTTAAAAACTAGGACCATCAAAAGACATATAAGAATCTCAAGAATTGCAACAAAATAAATCAATGGAAAATATGAATGCTTGGAAAAATATTGGAACACAAGGGTGCAAGGTAGAATGCCTCAAAAATTCAACAACAAAATGGCATTCACCAAGAGTCAAGATCAAATTTAACCAAGCAATCAAAATTGAGAAACAAAAGTTAACCATGAAACGAGCAATAGAATTCCAAAAATTAGGCCCACAAAAGAGATTTCAATAATGACAATGAGAACAAGAATTCAAGAGCAGATATAATCAGGATGTCAAAATCTAGCACCTTAAGTACTAGAATTAATTAACAGAACAAAGCAATGGTTGGGATCAAGATGCTTAGAAGATTACTGTCTTCCAATTAAAAGGGCAAACAAAAATCCAAGCAGCCAGATCAAAGAACCGTTTCACTTGGAACAAAACTCTAGGGCATCAAGTATTTCAAGGACTACCCCTTTACCTCGTAGCTCATGGAGGCTACAATCTGCTTAGCCTAGACATCCTAGAATTAAGTTAAAGCTAGGACATCAAGAATATTGAGATTAACACTTGCAAGAGACAAGAATTTAGAATACCTCATATAGGTATCTTCTAATAACCATCACCCCTCCTAAAGAGGTGTCCATATGAACAAAAACCAAGAATCAAGAAGATCATCAAGTATATTGACACAAGAACTAGCAGAATATGCAAGATTTGAGCAAGAGCAGTATACAGAATTTGAACAAGAGCAAGAGTCAGAACAAGAACGTTTCCAAGGACAACTCAAACTAGATTCCAAAAACAATGCAAGAGTTAATTTCAGACAAGTATCAAGATAATGAGGATTTCAATAATCATTATCCATTT